CTCCCTGGACTGCACACTGCCGCTGGGAACTGAGACCGACTGTCTCTTCTCCCTGGCCCCCACACTGCCACTGGGGAGTGGGAACGGTTGTCTCCACTTCCACTGCCACTCTGCTTTGCACTGCAGGTGCCTGGCCACTGTATTCCTTGTGTCCTGTATGTATTCCTCAGTGGGGTTGGGTCCATAGAAAGCCAGCAGCCTCGTCAGCAGATTGTCAAACTCTGCCTTACTGTAGCTGGGCACCATGCTTGTTTGATTAATGAACGCTGGTTCCGTTTGGCAGGAATGTACTATCCCACTACTTCCTTGAGCCACTGTGGAACCCTTAAAACAAGCAGACATCCATTTCCCCCAGTAACTGGATGACACACAGTTCTGGAGTCAACTAACCTTTATTTTGTCACACATGGTTTCTTAGGCACACACATGGGGTCTCCAACACAATACAACAGAGGTTTCAATCCCAAGATCCTGATGGGTGATTGTGGAGGGACAAAACAGCTAGTTTAAACTGGTTTGGCAGTGTCCCTGGGACAACGCCCTGCTAGGACAGCAAAAGGAAGCGGGAGAGGCACAGACAAGCAATACATTCAGAAAAGGAAGGGGGACGGGGAGAGGCACAGACAAGCAATACATTGTTAAATAGCCGTGACCTGAAAACAATAAGCAGACAAGCATGTGTGGGCATGGTACTCAGTGACAGCGTTCGACCACAGCCACCTCTAGAGGGTGTCACTCAGACAGCCAAGAGAGGCCCTTCCTGGTGCGGTCCAGCAATCTTTGTAGTGCTGCTGTTTCCTTTTCTTCATGCAGAGCTGCATAATCCCCATAGAGATGATCTAATGATGGTTGATCTGATGCATCTCTATGATAAAATACTGATTGTCGCAGTGCAGAGATTGTCGCACATGCACACTAGCTCGTCCCCTATGGGGAAGTATTGGATTCATGGGCATCCGCAGGGGGGGCAGCCTACAGATCAGATAAGTGTGGGATGGGGCGGGCAGCCTACAGATCAGGTAAGTGAGGCATGGGGGGTGTGCAGCCTACAGATCAGATAAGTATGGGATGGGGGGCAGCCTACAGATTAGGTAAGTGAGGTATGGGGGCAGCCTACAGATCCAGGTAAGTGAGGTATGGGGGCAGCCTACAGATCCAGTGAAGTGAGGTATGGGGGCAGCCTTCATTATCAGGTAAGTGTAAGGATGGGAGCAGCCTACAGATCCAGGTAAGTATGAGGCATGGGAGGGCAGCCTACAGATCAGGTAAGTGAAGGATTGGGGGCAGCCTACAGATTAGTAGAGTGAGGCATGGGGGCAGCCTACAGATCCAGGTAAATGAGGATGGGGGCAGCCTACAGATTAGGTAAAGAGTGAGGCATGGGGGGCAGCCTACAGGTAATGTAAGTGAGGGATGGGGGGCAGCAGATCAGGCAAGTGAGGCATGGGGAGTGGCAGCCTACAGATCAGCTAAGTGATGAGGCAGCCTACAGATCAGGTAAGTGAGGCATGGGGGGCAGCCTACAGATCAGGTAAGTCAGGGATGGGGAGACAGCCTATGGATCAGGTAAGTGAGGAATGGGGGGCAGCAGATCAGGCATGGGGAGTGGCAGCCTACAGATCAGCTAAGTGAGGAGGCAGCCTACAGATCAGGTAAGTGAGGCATGGGGGCAGCCTACAGATCAGGTAAGTCAGGGATGGGGAGACAGCCTATGGATCAGGTAAGTGAGGCATGGGGGGCAACCTACAGATCAGATAAGTGAGAGATGGGGGGCAGCCTACAGATCATGGAAATGAGGGATTGGGGGCAGCTTTCAGATCAGGTAAGTAAGGTAGCATGAGGCAGCCTACAGATCAGGTAAGGGAGGGATAGGGGGCAGCCTGCACAGATCAGGTAAGTGAGGCATGGGGGCAGCCTACAGATCAGGTAAGTGAGGATGGGGGCATCCTACAGATGAGCATGAGGCAGCCTACAGGTCAGGTAAGTGAGGCATGGGGGGCAGCAGGTCAGGCAGAAGTGAGGGAATGAGGGAGTGGCAGCCTACAGATCAGCAGGCTGAGGCAGCCTACAGATTGGGTAAGTGAGGCATGGGGGCAGCCTACAGGTAATGTAAGTGAGGGATGGGGGGCAGCAGATCAGGCAAGTGAGGCATGGGGAGTGGCAGCATACAGATCAGCTAAGTGAGGAGGCAGCCTACAGATCAGGTAAGTCAGGGATGGGGAGATAGCCTACAGATCAGATAAGTGAGGGATGGGGGCAGCATAGAGATCAGGTAAGTGAGGCATGGGTAGTGGGGGGAAGCCTACAGATCAGGTAATTGAGGCATGGGGGTGCAGCCTACAGATTAGATAAGAGAGGCATGGGATGGGTGGGCAGCATACAGGAAGGGTCATCAAGGAGCAGGAAGGTAAAGTAGGAGAAGGAGCAGAAAGGAGAAGGAACAGAAATGAGCAGGAAGGGACATCAATGAGCAGAAAGGTTAAGTAGGAGAAGGAGCAGAAAGG